TATATATTTATGTATAATTAAATGCTCCTCAACTCTGTGACCACATTGTCAACTCCAGCACAGACTGACCTGGGTGTGTTTGATTTCAGACAGGGGGAAGCGCGGAGCGTTCTCAGAGCTTACGGGGTCGATGAGCCGAGCAGCAGGGAAGAAAATCAATCGGATCATCACCTTCTCCAAACGGAAACCTCCTTTACCAGGAGAGCCTTCCTCTTCCTCTGGTCACCATGACAACCCACGCTGTGGTGAGGACACAAACTGATCTAGAAGCTGTTTGGTAGACAGGCTGGTTGGTTTAAGATAGTTAAAGTTACTGGTTGGGGATTAGATTATTTGCCAAAGTATTTGCAATTTTACATCTGTGCAGTTTAAACAAGTTGATGTTAGACAATCCACAGAGGTGAGAAAAACGATTGTAGCCAAAAAGCAACATTGTGCTGTAAATTATTGTATGTTTCAGAATTGTACTCTGTTGAATTGCTCAGATATACAGTAGATAACCTTGGAAAAAACACTTTGAGAAACACCCTTGTGTCGCAAAATGTAATAAGACCAACACACAAAAGTCACAGTAAACATCATAGTAATAGGCTTAAAATAGTAAATATAAAGCCACTAAACATGTCTGCCATCTTTTCACAGGCTACCTCAGTGTGTGTCTTAGCGGCTCTTGGAAAGAGCGTTGGTGTGTCGTGCGAGGAGGAAGCCTGTACCTGCAGAAGGACCCCGGGGACCAGCGACCACCAGTCATTGTGGTGCCGCTCAAAGGTGCAGAGGTGGTGACAGGAGGCCTCGGCCCAAAACATCCCTTCTCTTTCTGCATCCTGCAGGGAGGCAGTGAACTAGCGTCTTTAGAGGTAAAATATATTGTGGTATCTGAGAGAGATTTAATGTAGCTTTTCATGACTCCGTGTGGACACAGAGGAGACAGACAGTTAACATGTGGGGATGACACACCTACATTTTTTTTGGAAACCAAGTTGCTTTTTTTATGTGTGTGTCCATCAGGCCAGTTCCTCAGAGGATCTCGGCCGCTGGCTGGGCGTGTTGTTTGCAGAGACCGGCAGCACTACTCTCCCTGAAGAGCTGCACTATGACTACATTGACGTGGACACGCTCACTGACATCCGGCACGCTGCCAGGCACTCTTTCCTGTGAGTCACTTCCTACAGTATACGTTTGCGTGTTTCCACATGTATTTATCTCGAGTTTTCCGTCACTTATCGTGGACTTTATCCTGAAATACGTCCGTCTCTGTCTCTTTGCTTTGTCCTCTCAGGTGGGCCACCACCACTGCTGCTTCCTCTAGCAGTGCCTCGACAGACTCCAGAACGTATGATGAGGTCTATGAAAGTGTGGCGGTGAGGAAACGTCATGTGAACCAGTGATATAATACAATATCAGTAAACTCTGAGATGCTTTAAAGCTGTTTGAATCCTCTATTGTTCAAGACATATACAATGGGCCTCTGACATGGTATTGATTTTAAAAATGTACTTGTTTTTCCTACAGGAGGAGGAAGTTGAGAGCAGGGCTGGACAGGTAAGACGTCACGCCTCCTTCTCCAGCAGGGACTCTGAAAAAACTGAACAACAGGCCGCCATCAAGAGACACGCCTCCAGTGAGTCTCCTTGTTACGTCTGGCTTCTCCTGTCAAGTAAAAGTTTGTCAAAGTGGATAATTAACTCGCTCAACAACATTTTGTCTGATCATATATACACTCTGTGTCTGTTAGATGTAAATCAGTATGCACGGTACGGGAAGACGCGTGCAGAGGAGGACGCCAGGCGGTACCTGATTCAGAAAGAGGAGCTGGAGAAGCAAAAAGAAGAGCTGAGACAGGCACTGATCTCCCTCCGCAGGGAGAAGAAGGAGGTGAAGGAGGAGATGAAGACAGTCACAGGTCAGAGACAAATCACACACACAGCACTGTTTAGACTTCAGCTTTGTAGCAGTACTAACTCATGAGTGTGCGTGCGTGTGTCTGTGTGCGTGCAGGTCATGGTGTGGAACAGCGGTTAGCCAAGCTGGAGACACTGTGTAAACAGAAGGAGGAGGAGCGGGTGGAGCTGGAGCTCAAACTGACAGAGGTCAAAGAAAACCTGAAGAAATCGTTGGCTAGAGGAGCGCTGGGTCCTCCCACTGACACCAAGATCAGCGTCAAGGTAGGCAGCCACAGCAGAGACACTGTGCTGTGTCATTCTTATACGAAGCTATAAACTGTAAAGAGACTTCTTAATTTAAGCACACTTACTGTATATCTTATTGAATTTATGAATTTACCTTAATACTGTATAAATGCATTGATCTTTAGTAGATGTCAGACTCAGAAAGTGCTGTTAAGTTGCAGACAGTTGTTCCATCACTGTTTTATTTTAAGGGAATACTTACTGGCCTGCTGAGAGAGATCGATATCAATATGATGTCTGTATGCTAAATATAAAGCCACAGTCACTGTAGCAGCCAATTAATGACTGAAAGCAGAAAGCTTTGCTCTGTATAAAGGCCAAACAAAATCTGCCTACCACCACCTGTAAAGCTCACTAATTAATATGTTCAAAGATGTGGATTTACTCGAAGGTATTTGCTGGACAACTTCTTACCTGTTAACAGTGACCTCCTTGAGTCTTTTTTGGTTGCCTGGCAACCTCGCGCTGATGACAAGACTCCAGGGGCCAGTTGCACCAACAGGGCTTATGTCTGGTCTTAAGCTATACCACTTGCACCATCTAAGCTTAAGCCTTCTTCTTGGATAGAGCAGGCATAAAGTCAAACTTTCAGCTGTGTATCAGCAGCCTGATGCACAACCCAAGACCCACAACAGTCACCCAGCTTTCCTGCTAAAGTCTCCTTTTTGTCAAGCTAAGTTACAAACATGAACACATGTCATGCCCTCCACCTCAAAACAAAGGTTGACCTGTGAGAGGTGGGCTGCTAATGTCAGTTATCATGCAAGATAGAAAGCTAATTAGCTAGTTAGCTGCAGCATATTAAGCTTTCTGCAAATGTCACTTGGTCTGTTCATGCTGCTGTGGTTCTTGCTAACACACTGTCCATCCGTGAGTTGTGAACTTCAGCCAAGTTTGTCTACTTTTTCTCTTCTTTGACGTCAGCCTACCTCTGGAGCTCCACCTGCTGGCTGCTTTCAGTCAAACAAAAACACATATCTCCTGTACATCTCTATTAATCATCATATCTGTGTGACATTTCTTTTTCTTTCTCTCTGATCCTCCATAAATATGTTGCCACAAATGATAAATAATAAGCTACACATTGGCAAGACGGTGGGAGGATGTTAACAGTGTATCACAGCAACGTATGCACTGCTAAGCAATAGCCAGAGTCGCTGGGCATTCACATGAACATGCATTGCTAAGACCAGGTGTAGTTAGGACTTAGCTTAAGTTAAGTTGGTGCAACCCACGTTAAGTCCATGCTAAAGACTGGTCTTAGTTTTAACAAAGACTGACTTAGCAGTAAGGACCAGGCTTCATAAAGACCAGTTGGTGCAGCCCACTCCAGGAGGTCACTGCTCTTGGCCAAAAATTAGTCCAAGAAAGCAAAATAAGCACATCTTCCAAAATCTTAAACTACTTCTTTAAATGAGTGAAATCTGACATTTGTGTTTGTGTGTGTGTTTGTGTGTGTTGGTGTGTACAGGCACAGGGCAGTAAGGTTGAAAAGGTTTACAATGAGAGTGTGCCGATCAACTCAGCAAGTGAGCTTCGGAAACGCCCTCCGTCTCTCTACGCCTCCTCCAAGGGGAATGTCATGCAGAAGGCGAAGGTAGAGTGTGTGTGTGTGTGTGTGTGTGTGTGTGTGTGTGTGTGTGTGTGTGTGAAAGACAGATAGAGGGAGAGCCTGTTTGCTGGGTAACACACTGAACTTGAGACACCCTTGAAGAAAAAGTTTCCAAATGATACTCTTTCATCCAGATAAAATGTTTGGGATCACAAGACTACTGTAGTTCGTGTGTGTGTGTGTGTGTGCGTGTGTGGTTGTGTGAGTGATGAGGACAGCTAGAAATGTTTTCCTCACTTTGTGCTGTGTCATGGTTTCTAGGAGTGGGAGTCAAAGAAGGGGACCTAGACTGCGCATAAACAGATCGACAGATGGATTCATGGAGAGGAAGAAAAAAACTGAGCTGCGACAGGAAATTGTGTAAAAGAAGAAACAGATGAAGATAACTGGCACTGAGAAGGAGGAGAAGAAGAAGAAGATAAGGATGAGGAGGAAGAGGGAAGAGTACAGACTTGGACACGGTCTTCCCTCATCTTACCTAAGAGGAAAAAGAGGAATCTTTGCAAGTCCAGGCAGCACTGTGCTGTCTCAACCACTGTAAATATGACAAGACTTTACTGGTGAACCAGTTCAGTATTAATGTGGATCACTATGAACATGATATATATGTTTGTGTGAGTTTGCATGTGTGTTTACATTTGCACAGGGCTGCAGAAAGTGAAAATGTGGTTGTTTCATAGAAATGCATCACAGAGGGAGAGTGTGGTTCATCAACACTGTGAGTTCAGAGTAACAGGCAACACTTCCACTGATTTTATTCCTTTTATACAGGATGCTTGTCAATGTAAAGTGAAAAAAACTAAACTATAGAATTATTATTATTACCTTAAGTTATCTTTATTAGTGAGAAAAGTATCCCACATCTTGTGAAGTGTTTTTAAAATATCAGGAAAGCATATTGAGTATGACACTGTTCTTGAAACCAGTGGGTAAATGTTTATTATTGCAATGTGAAACTATTGGTTTTTAACCGTTATATGTGATTTTGTTCTTTCATATTGCCTTTTGCACTTTATCTTGTTGTATATTGTGGTTACGCAAATGTCTTGGAAATTAGCCTTAGCACCCCACTTCAGAATTGTGAGGATAAATGCCTGTGTCTGCTCTCTCTGTTCGTCACAGAAATATGAACACACACATGTTGGAGTAAATGATGACTTTATCAAGACATGTCTGTTTGTTTGTTTTGGCCTGGTGCTTCTCCCAGGGTAAGTTTACTGCAAGAAACCAAAGAACTCTGAACTATAAGCGCCATCTAGTGGCGATATTAAATTAAGATACTGCATTGGGTGGACAAATTGAATAATATGCAAGAAATCAGTTTGTACTAAGTGACATAAGTAAAATACTTCCAAAAATTTTTAGTTTTCTGATATGTTCATCCACACTATCCCCATTTTTTGTCAGGTGCAGCGCCTATATTTCCTTTCATGCACTGCATTGTAAAGACAACACACCCAAAAACAGTTTTAATTATGCACACTGACTGTAAGAGCAGGTGCAGATTATTTGTTGTCATGGTAATGGGAATATGTAAATGCTATTTAATTTAACCATATGTTTTACATGCAAATACATTACATGTGTCACATTATGTGAGTAGGCTTATATCTGATTGGATGCTGTAGCACTGAGGATAGGTAGAGCCACAGGAATTGCACCAGGTGGGTGTCTCCTCCCACTCACTGAGTGTGGCACGTGGGATCGCAGACCGCAGAGAGAAATGTTTGGTATGGGAGTTACAACGCTGAAAAATATGTCTCGGAGCAAAATCTGTTGTGTGACAAATACGTGTTTTGAATTTTGGCAGGGATGACAAATATTGTCCTTCAAAACATGTTTTTACTTAGAATTGTTTGTGTCACGCGAACCGGAAATAACCCTGTCCACTGGGAAAATGACCAACATGAGTAAGTAGATTTCTTTAAATACACTTTACCACTGTGAACACAGTACAGCCTCAAAACCTGATATATAAGACACAGACAGAAAGACAATTAATACTTAGAAATAATGAAAAGCAGTTGTCAGTGTGTAGTTACTTTGATTTACACTTTCGAAGGAGGTGAGAGTATAAAAATAGTAGTATAAAATTCCACCCCTTCTCCATAAGTCACTGACTGAAATAAAACAGACAGCTTCCTCATATAGATAAACCCATAATTTAGACTTTTCTAAATATACCAGTTATTACCTTTTTGTCACACAAGAATAATCCATAGGCCTATGTATATAAAAGTAAGTACCAAATATCGATCTTACAAAAACCTATCTTAGTAAATAATATTAATTACCAATTATCTGACTTACAAATAGTAACCAGTCCAAGTGTATGATAGATTTTAATACCAACTGTCTTTGCCTTACAAAAATAAATATGAACATTAACATTACAGATATATATCTTCATCAACTTGTCCTACTATCTTTTTCTATTTAAATAAGCGAGCATATGAATTATACAAAGTGTGAATAAACCTGATCATAACTAATGAAATATCACAAAGTGAGAGGAGTTCTCCTTCATCCTCTGTACTGACTGATACAAAACCATACATGAGAAATTAAACAAAAAAATGTTCTCTCACTTACCCCATAGGACATGGCCAAACTGACAGTTTAAACTTATTTATTGTGCACTGCATTAATAAAATCAGGTACATTTCTGTCTAGCGTCAGTGTCCAGGGCCGTCACAACCGGACAAGCAAACTAGGCAATTGCCTAGGGCCCCGAGCTGGAAGGTGGCCCCCAGAAACGGCTGACATTGGTCCATATCAATGACAATATGATGGAACCCCTATAGACACTGCAACAACGACAACACGTTGGAATCCCCCCTAATGGGGCCCCCTACCAGCTGCTGCTTGCGAGTGGCTAAGTATGGTGACCAGACGTCCCGCACTGTGCAGGACTGCACAGCATTTCTGTCTCTTTTCACGTGTCACTCAAATTGAGACCATGTCCCTCATGATTGGTTGCCACCCGCGCTAGCATTGTTGGAGTACCGTAGTACTATGGTACCTCACGGTACCACTACTGTGGGATAAGTTCAAAGTCCAATTGCAAGCAAAAGAAATCATTCAGCACGCTATGCAAGTACAGATTTCAACCAGCAGCAGAAACAAAAGGCGAATCCTGCCGGTTGTGGGTTGAACAGGGGTCACAGACGCTGTATTCCTGTCAAATACGCCACAAGATAAGGCTTACCAGCGACGGGGAAGTCCGGCTCCAGGTCCAATAATTTCCTCTTTGTTGATTTCATGACTGCCCAGAAATACCTGAACAGCAGAGCCGTGGCGGCACACAGGTATGTGATGTGTCAGAGGAGAAACGAGCCGTTCACATTTCTCTCTGTGGCAGGTAACGGTCCACAAACCTCACCGCACTTTAGGGACTGTTCTTTACTTATGGAGGGACTGTTCTTTACTTGTCAGGGGAGGAGGGTGGCTGGTTGATTTTTATTTTATTTATTTATTTTATTTTGATCCCCCCTATGTTAATCACTCATTGATGCTGTTTTTGAAGTATGAATAAGTCAATAAGTAATTTATTCCATTGAAATATCAGTGATGTATTATAGAAAAGTGATTTATCTTTTTATAAATGACAAAACGTCTGCCTAATTTTTGCTGTGGTATCATGATACTACTTAGAACCATGATGCTTTCACTGGTATCGGGGGGCTCCAAGGTGCCTCTTGCCTAGGGCCCCCAGAGTGTCTTGAAACAGCCCTGTCAGTGTCTGTGTTACTCTGGATGAGAAGTCACCATGAACATGTTTTAATAGGGACTATCTCATCAAAAATGAAATTTGATTCAGCTCTATTGTAATGAGGTGAATGCATTAATAAACAAATGCATGACTTTTACTTTGAGCAAAAAAACAAAACATCAACAGGCATGCTCAAAAGGAGTAGGAAGAAGTATACACTTAAAATCCTACCACCTTCTCAGTATTCATGTCTCATTTGAAAAGGAAATTGTCAACAACTATCCCAAACTTATTTACAGCCATTAATATAGATAAATAAACATTAGTCTTGGATATTAATATTCACACCCCATCTCAACCAAGTCCAGATACATAAATAAACCAACCCATCACATCACCCCTCTAAATATACTGTGTCTGTACATCTTTTTAAAGTGCTCTATAGTTGTGTAACCCATTCCATAAATCCACCCCACACACTGAAATACACAGACTTTTCAAGGATTTTTTTATTTGATTTTCCTCTTAAATGTCCCCCCTACCTGTGACAAAACATTATCTGAAATTTTCCAGACTGAGATCATTTCTTGCTTTTTACATTTATTTGTACCATTTTAAACTTAACCAATTCCCTGAATTTCAATGCATGATGTGACTAAAAACAGTGTGTTCGTGTGCTCCCTTTATCCAACATTATGTACAATCCAAATGGCTTTTTTTGTAATGTGTATGTGTATACAAATTACATTCATAGGTGTTTCCCCAGTCCTCCACACAGTAATTAAGATGCAGTAAAATGAGTGAGCAGTAGAGGATGTATAGTGATTTATGGTCCAGAATGTGTCTTGATTTTCCCATTACTGCAATGGTCCCTGCCAGCTTTGATTTAATGTTTAATTGAGGTTTCCAGCTGATTTTGTGATCCAGTATCACTCCCAGAAATTTATCTTGACCCACTTTTTCTACCTAAACATTATCTATCTTCATTTGGTGGATACAAAACCTGGCCATATAAACCAAATCTATCTGTATACAACTAGAGGTCAGTATAATAAATATGTTGTATTGTAATTTGGGCAATTTAATCTCTTATATTGTAAACTACACTTAAATCATTTCAATAAGACATAAACACAGGTGCAGATCATAAAAAAAAGACAAAGACAGTAACTTCTTTAGAAAGAGTTTATTTAGTGCATTTCTAGTTTGTCCACAGCAGGAACCAAAATAGTAAGTTAATCTGTGCTCCCATTGGTCCAGGTGGTTGTGGTTGTGGTCCAACACCATTGGTCCATTCATGTTCTGGTGCAATACTATTGGTCCAGTAGTGTTCCAACACCCTCCCATTGGTTCACTAGTGTTCTGGTACGACACTATTGGCTCACTAGTGTTCTCTTTAGGTCAGGAACACGTAAGACCAGAAAAAAAACAGACCTTCGGCATGCTGCTACTGAGCAGAGGTCCACAAGCTTCCATGCAACAACAAACAAACAAACAAACAGCAATGGACAACAACAACAAACGGAAAGATAAACAACAGCATTGCTTGTAAGAAGTAAGCATGGAAGCATATACAGTAAACCTTATTTTAACCTGCTAAAGCCCTCAGGAGGTTTGTCTGATATACAACAGATCTTAAAAAGGTAAAATCCCCCCCCCCAGACACATGCGTGCGCACACTCTCGCTTGCCCACACACGCACACAACACTCCTACTGCAAGCACAGCGTGACCACTCACACTCACGCGCGCACACACACAGGCGCACCTGCATGCAAACAAATGATCGATCCTCATAAGTGTACAAGGAATACGTTCGTCATTTTTAAAAATATGACTTAACCCCATGAGCTCTGTGTAAACATAGCATACGGTAGAGTAGATAAAGACTTCCTTCCTTCCTTTGTCACCCTCTAACTTTCTCGTCACGTTCCTTTTCACTGCAATAACTTTAGTTAGTTAATACTTGGACTCTTTGGTTCTCTGTAACAGTCTGTTTATCTGACTATGTGACTGACTGACTCTCTCTGTCCCTCGTTTCTTTACTCCTTCTCCCTCCCTTGTTCTCTCTGGTTATGTTACAGCAGGAAGAGTAGTCAAGGGGAGAGATTCACAGGTCCTGTCCCTCTGCAGACCAGAGCAGCAGAGCCAGACAGGTTGATTGTCCTTGATTTATTTACATCACAGTCAGTCACAGTGGGCTCCGTTAAGTGGAAGAACACATTCCTGTCCTCCTTCGTTTTCTCCTCACCTCCTCCTCCTACCACCCCTCACCAGCCCGATGTGTGGGCATGTCGGCCTGAGATCTGTGTGTGTGTGTGTGTGTGTGTGTGTGTGTGTGTGTGTGTGTATGTTTGTGAGTGTGTGCGTGTGTGTGTGTGTGTATGTTTGTGAGTGTGAGGTGTGAGGGGTGTGGGGCTAGGATAAGTCATTGTTGCTGGGCGACTTCCCTCCGCCGT